TTTTTAGTCTCAATAAAATTATTTCAGAGGCAAGAAGTATTTATATAGAGAAATTCCTGAAAAATATGTGTGGGATATATCAAATAAAATATGGAAGATGAGGAAAAATTATGAGTAAATCGGTCGTGTAAATACAACAAATTTATCAGATGGTGAAAGATATTACCTCAGAATTTTGTTAAATCATGTATATGGACCAACTTAATTTTCAAATTTATTACGAGTTCATGGAATCCAATACTCTACTTTTAAAGAAGCTGCAGAAATGTATGGTTTACTGGAAACAGATGCTTATATATCATATTACTTAAATGATGCATCAAATTATCAAATGTCAAATGCGCTATGACAATTATTTGCTATTCTTCTCGTCTACTACGAGACAACTAATATTCTTCAATTATGGAATGAGTACTACATAGATCTATCTCATGATTATCAAACCATTAAGGATATTTTTTATGATGTTTGCGAGTCAAAAATATTATTGGATATTAACTTATTTCTTGAGAGAATGAGAAAGTCTATTGATGATTTTGACTTGCCTGAATTGCCACAAGTCCAAGAGATCTTTCATGATTTAAATGATGAGCTCAATAATAAAAAAATATCTGAAGAGTGAAATATCATTACTCTAGTTGAATATATAAATATAATAAATATAATAAATACACTCAATTCAAATCAGAAGAATGCATTTGAAGAAATTATCAATCGTGTTAATCAGAAACGTAATGTCATGTTTTTCATAGATGGTCCTAGAGGTACAGGTAAAACATATATGTATCATACTATTCTTTCAACTTTAAGAAATGATGGTCATACAACAATCGCAACAGCTACATCAGGAGTAGCAGCTTCAATATTGCCCGGAGGTCGAACAACACATTCAAGGTTCAAAATACCTATAAATTCAACATAAACAATGTTATGTGCAATTACCAAACAAAGTGGACTTGTTCGGTTACTTAAATAATCAAATATTATAATATGGGATGAAGCTCCAATGATTAAACAAACAGTAATTAAAACTTTAGATAAAACTATGAAAGATATTATGAATAGTTTTATTTCTTTTGATGGTAAAGTTATTGTATTTGAAGGTGACTTCTGACAAGTATTACCAGTTATAAGACATGCATCAAGATCAAAAACTATTAGTTATAGCATGGTTAAGTCATACTTAGGACAAGATATGAAAGTTTTCAAGTTAAAAGAAAATATGCGGGCAAAAACAGATCATTTATTCAGTGATTTTATTCTTATAATTGGAAATGGAGATGAAGAGGAAAGTGAAGATGGATTAGTGCATATTTCAAATGAAATGGTGATAGAATATTCAAATAATGAAGCTTCATAAGATTTATTAATATGTACTATTTTTCCTTCTCTATGTGCTTATTTTTTATCGTCGGAGTACATTATGGAAAGATTAATTCTTGCCACTAAAAATGAGTATGTTGATAATTAAAAGCTTATTAATATTTTTTTAGGTGATGAGTTTACTTATTTCAGCTTTGATAGTGTTAGTGATAATTGTTATAATCTTTATCAAGTTGAATTTTTAAATTCATTAACACCAAATGAATTTCCTCCTCATTGTCTTGTTATCAAGATAAATTATCCAGTAATGCTACTAAAAAACTTAGATCATTTAAATGGTTTGTGCAACGGAACACGAATGATTTATAAATCATTTAAAAATAATGTGATTATTATAGAAATTTCAATGGGACAATTCTCAGGGAAAATAATTATAATACCTCGGATTCCATTATGTACAAGCGATGATGAAGTTCTTCTATTTAAATTTCAGATAAAATAATTTTCATTATATTTGTGCTTTGCAATGACTATCAATAAAACACAAGATCAAATGATTACTAATGTTAGGATTTACCTTCCACATAATATTTTCTCACATGGGCAATTATATGTTGTATTATCAAGAGGTATATCAATGAGCATAATAAAATATTTATAATACCAGATAAATATACTTTTTCATAAGATTCTTACACAAAAATATTGTTTATAAAGAGATTTTCACATCTATCAAATAATTAATATGTATGTATATATATTTAAATTAAGTATTATTTTATTATTACTTTCATATTATAATATATTTATCTAAAGATTTGTTTATAAATTTTAATGAATAAATTTGTAATTCTATTAATATCAGGTTAAATTTAATGGATTCATCAAGTTTTATCAAAAGTTTATCTCTACATCAATGTTATTGGAGTATTACAGTTGTAATAACTCAAATTGATAATGTTAGAGTTTTCAAATCTAGACAAGGAAAGATCCAGAAGCTTACTTTAATGGATAAAGAGGTAATTAAATTTTATAAAATTTCATTTCAATGAATATTACTAATATTATTTTGAAAGAACACTAAATTTTTATGTATTTTTATTATCTTCTAAAAAATTTTGTTATTTTTTATTTTTTAGGGTTAAAAAATATATGTCATCATGTTCAATGAAATAATTGACAAATTTTGCTACATATTGGAAAGACTTATATTTTATCAAATGGGCAAATCAAAATGACAAATAAAGATTTCTATAATGTCAATGAAAGTTTTGATATTATTTTAATCAGTATCTCAGAAATACAAGTTGCAATCACTGATGATATAGAAGCAGTAAGAAATAATTTATCGATAATTGAAGATATCAAGTTAAATTATTTTTTTTTAGGTAATTAAATATATATATATATATCTTATGTATTTCTAATTTTAATTATATTTTATGATATATCAGATTTCATACTCTCAACAATACAATCAACAACTTTAGAAATCAATCCAAATCTGCCATCATCAAAAAAACTCTTGGATTTGTATAAACTTCTTAATGCTTTACTTAAAACTGTTATTTCAACTGTCATTATTTTTACTTGTTAAATTTTTCAATTTACAAGTCCAATAAAAATATTTATCAACATACATCATCTTCTTTTGATATGTATTTGATGACATATCTACAAAATATCAACACATCTGAAAAATCATTGGGAGAGGTAATAAATATGATCAATTATTATTCTGATTTCTTTCTAATAAATTATTTTTTATACATTTCAGGTAAAGTACTACTCTACAGGAGTAGTAATAAAAGGACATTATCAAGAAGGAAATATATGATACAATTCATGCAATACATGTAAATCCAAAATTTTTTTTTTATTGATGGCATTGCAAAATATTCTAAATGTTCAGAAGAAAATCTTGAATATAGTTTGAGGTAAACTTTTTATATAATATTATCATATTTGAAATAAAAAATCTTAACTTTATAATATATTTCAAAAATATTATTTATACAGGTATCTTATCAAATTGCTTGTTGAGGATATTAGTTCAACTGCAATATTTACAATTTTTTATAATGAAGTTGAACAAATTATTGGCATACCTGTTACAAATTTAGAGAAAATAAAGGTATATCTATTTTATTACATTATGTTTATATTATAACTTATATATGCATACTCTTATATATTTTTTCTTTTTTAATGTAGGAAACCAACATAGAAGATTATAATAACATTATCACAAATATTTGTGATAAGGAGCTGATATTCTCAGTAAAGGTTCAAGATAAATAATATGGGAGTCGAACATTCCGTTCAATTACAGTTCAATCTATAAAAGAAGAATCTGATGAAGTTATTGAGATCGAACCTAAAAGAATCAAATTAGAAGAGCTTTAAACTTTCATATTTATTCATATTTGAATACATATTTTACTCTTGATACTCTAGATATTTATTTCTTATTTCTTCGTATCTCTCTCTCTACCTATCTTTTTTTATTGCAGGTTATAACAGCTTTGGATTTTTATAACAGATTTGAATCATTATTTTAAAGCTTAATGTTATTTTTTTCTTCTTCTGTTGCGATGAAGAAAACAATTAAAGAAAAGAATATAGAGTGGCTTTCTGAGCACATTATATAGAACATGATTTTTTTTTATAGAATCTTCGATTTGTTGAATTTCACTGCAACCCAATAACACTCCTTAATGTCAATCATTAGTTGTTCAAAAGATATGTGATTGTTTTAAAAAGAAGCCCTGATTGATATACTTGTGATGGCTTATTTAGGCTCAATTGCGTTCCATATTGAAGTTTCCACTATATACTGCTCTAGAGTAGAAATATTTGGTCAACCATATTAAGAAACATTTTTTTCACTTGAGTGATTTAGTAAGCTGAATGCTTGATTTTTTTTTTTGCATAAGATTGCTTGTTCTCATAACATCTTCATTTTTTTATCTATAGAGAATCTCACGTAACTTTTGCGACTTGATAAAAAATATTTATTAATGATGTTCATATATCTTACTCTTCAAGTACATCTATGATCTGGTGGAAATTCACCACAGGAAGAACAACGAATGCAGCCAATCTTCACTTTGTTGCCTCCAATGATGCAGGAACAGATAATGCCACACACTCTATTGGAACTTGGAAAATCAGTTGTATGGGCTTTTTTCCCTTTATTTTTTATAATTAGATTCTATGTTTAAGATAGATCATTTTTTAATAGGTAATTTTGTATTGAGTTCTAACCAACATATATATGTTTCGTTTGATCCAATAACAATGTACACTTCCTGCTTAATATTTCACCTTGTGTAACACGAAGGTTCTTTCTGCTTCATGTATTTTTTTTCCTTAAAGTCAAGAAAGGTACCTTTCATATTGTTAACTTTTAGAGAAGATGATGCAATGAAATGTTGACTAATTTATATTCTAATTAGGTGCTTCAATACACCCCATATGTGCAATTTTTTTAATTTTGAATTTTAATTGCTTGCTAGTTACAGCAAACATCCCAATGTTTTAGTTTAATCAATATTTTTCGATTACTTATTTGCCCTTTGCATTTTTCAACTTCTTCCTAAATTGATTTCACTCTCAAACGCCAGTTCTCACCCGCACTTAACCCTGACTAACTAATTCTTCCAATGATTCTTCAGGTATTGTGATGATACCGGAGCAGCTTGGATGGCCCGCTCATCACGGTAAACAATTAGCTGAAGTTACTGTATATTTCATAAGTAATATTGGAAAGCAGCAATCATGCAACGTTGCAGCATTTGTACCACTAGAAGAAAAAAACTCCTTCGCAGGTAACTGGTGATAATTATGTTTGCCTTTCTATAGCTCAAATTTCTCCTATAAGATTTTTAGGAGATATTGTGAATAATGTATTTCGTCAATATACATTAAAAACAGAATGCGAAATGGATAAAGTACTTGGCTACTTTCTCAAATTCAGAGGCTCGAGCTAACTTAGTGTATGATGCAGTAAGTTAAATAACGTTTTCTTGTTTTCTGTTCTCACTTGACATTTCTATTTTGTAACTTCCAGCATGAACTCACAGTTTCAACCAGAAATGCATATTAGTTGTTTTATATTCAACTGTTGTGTTCCTTTTAAGAATTATCTTTGGTTACTTTAAAATTAAACTTTCTAACAAATGTATAGCAATTCCATTGATCGATTTATTGTAGATTAAAGGGAACTACAATTGCTTAAGCAAAGCAGCAGCAAATCTCACAACTCTTTTCAAACCTGTTGTTGCTTTGGTGGATTACAACCAGATATTCCAACAGATTCGGCATAGCCAATATGAGTGAACAAGAGAGATTGAATTCAAATTAACAAAATAAAAATTGGAGCAAGAAACAAGAAATTACATAGAAATGTTGTTGAAGGCCTATGCAAACTTCTAGATATATCCATATTTTAATCATTGCCACAAAATTAGAAAATTAACTTCTAATTCCTGATATTCTTTGCGTACTTTTATCTTCCACATATTCAGAAATAAGGTATTTACACAAACAAATTAAAGGCAGTTGGCTGAATGTCTTATTTCCAGGTTTAAGTGTCTCAATTTCAGTTAAAATGCTTTATTTGTTGGTGAAATACCTTACTTTGGGTTGCATGAGAAGAAAAGTTCGACGCAAGTACAAATAATCAAGTATTAGTATTAGCACTTTCCATTTTAAAGTAACCCAAATATTCCACATTTCGCTATCATAGTGAATGAAGAAAAAGTTTGCTTGCCTTATGCCACATAAACTTATAAAGAAGAATATTCTTTATAAGTTTCTGAAACCAATCATAAATTGAATCATTTATTTATGCCATGATACATATGAAATGATTAATTTTTTTCATTTGGCAGGGCATGTGGACCTTTTCTAGAGAAAATTACAAATTGAAGGTGTCACCATTTGTATATTTACTTAGCTTTACATATAGGAAATCCAAAATGAGACTGACTTCGCTTGTGAACAGTATGTCTCTGATGCAGGAGGTAAAACTGTGGATGAAACAATCAGTAACCATAGCTACAATGTTTCAAATTCTGATGACATGGATGACCTTTATGCTCTCCTATGTTTGAGTTTTCTGAATAGATTTTTTGTTATTGGAAGATTTCGCAAAATAAGATTTGAAGCTGTGCTAATGGTTTTAAACTCAAAATTTGGCTTTTTGTGATCAGACAGTTGATGAGGTGATTGATCAAACTTTTGCACCAGAGCCTGCGGAGTACACTCTTTTGACATTGCTAGATAATTTCAATGTGAGCGATGATGCAAACTTTGACTTCTTGATAAATCATAGTCTGTGGAGATATGACAAAAGAGTTCAAAACTCTTCTGTCCTAGGTATGATTCTACTCTTTTTTTTTTTGGGTTTAGGGATTGATATGAGAACTGTCATATAGCTCTCAAATTTTAGTAGCTTAAATAGAAATGCATTTACTACAATTTCTCACATTGATAAGAGGAGAATTTTTGTCTAGGTACTGATGGAAACTAGGCTTAGCCAAGTACTTGGTTATAAATAACAAGGCTTAGGTTTTGTTTGGGACAGCTTTCTTACAGCTTCTTAAAGCAACTTTTTAGGATAGATATTAAAAATTTTGTAAAAAAAAAAGCTTTAAGAAGCAATAAGAAAGCCGTCCCAAACGATGTCTTACTTTTGTTTTAAGGAATTGAAAGAGAGGAAATAAAATTGAAAAAGCTTAAGGAATTCAATTGAAATTCATTTTAACACATTTGTTTAGGAAGCTATAAGCAAAATGTTTAATAGCTTATAACATTAATGATATGGTTGTTGTTATTTTATCATATGTATTATCGCTACTGGTATGATTGAGCAATCTCTCAGGCCCAGTTGGTATTTTAGTAGATCTTATTGAAATGTTCTTTCCCACCGAAAATTACCCTCTGACTTACTTCAGAAACATTGCTAAGGTTTGTTTCCTCCCCCATTCCTTCCTCTGATTCAAATAATTCCAACTGCTAAGGTTTGTTAACTAAATCCCATGCTTGTTTCTGCATGCTCAGCATGAAGGGGTGATATTAATAGGACCTGAGAGCATCTCCAACGGAAAATCTCATTTTTCACTCCAAAATGCAGTGAAACTGTAAAATGCCGTGATTCATCTCCAATCAGACTCCATTTTTCACCCTTTTGTAGGTAACAGTCGCCTCTTCTTTCCCGCGGCGAGTTCGGTAGAGAGGTAAAAATGGCGGAGATGAACAGTGCAACGCCAATATTGGCGTCCCACTGTTCACCCACAGCCAAATAGCAGAAATTTTGAGGTTCGATTGGATTGACGTCCCACTGTTCACCCGCAGCCAAATAGCAGAAATTTTGAGGTTCGGTTGGAGCTGGTCAAGAACGCCATTCAATCCTATGGAGTTCGGTTGGAGATGCCATGAGAGCTGCAACAGAAGCGCACCTCTGTGCCCTTGGATCCTGTCATAGTTCAGTGCTGATGAAGACACCATCATAGCTTAATGGGAACTTTTTATCTTTTATTTTTTTAATCCAGATCAATGTTATTCAGAATCCTTCTTCATTTCTATTTGATTGTATAACTCAACTCTATTGAAATGAGTAAAGGGATATATTTCTGACAAAATTGACAAAGTTAAAAAAGCCATAAGTGAAGCCCACTTATATATTTACAAAGTGCATCTTGCATATTTAAATAGTTTTAATAACTCAAAAAACTTATAAAGAAGATATAATAGCAGAGTCAATATTTATTTGCATTATCATTGGATAATAAAAATATTGACAAACAAATATATTAATAATCTAAATTTGTTCAAAATAAAATATTAGAGATGATTTGAGTGAATTATTATTAGTTTTAATAAAATGATTATGAAGGCATTTATTATTAATAATAAAATTTTATTTAAATTAATTGAAATGTTATTATAACTTGAACATAATAAAAAACAAATATATGATCTTGAACAAAATTAGAACTAGATATATATGTTCAATCCCTACATCAACTCGACAATAAATAAATTTGAACAAGAATGATATTTAGGCTTCGTTTGAGAAGAAATTATTCTGTGAGGAAGCTGGACACAGCTTTACATCCGGATGCCACGGTACCGTGCTGTGATACAATAAAAGGTGACGTGGTGCAATTTTTATTGGTCTCCGAATGGCATTCGGTGTCCGCACAAAATAACTTTTCTCGTTTGAAACAAATTTCTTACATGCGTCAAAGAGTACATGTGCACCTTAGTATTATGTTTTATTTGTGTTTTTGGGTGAAAAGGCAGGATCTAATTGTGAGTTTTTAAAGTCTACACATTGCTCAAAAAAGAAAGTGGCAGACAAGGAAATAAAAAATGAAAATAAGGCCAAGTAAACTCGCTTTTGCAAGCTTTAAAAGGTTGTTTTGTCAATAGAGACTGCTTACTATGAAGCAATGACAATTCTGAAGGACCACAATGTCTCCTTAGTTCTACTCAATTGTAGTTTTATGGCAACATTTCACATTATTTAACTAGGTTTAATATAAAATGTTATAACAAATTATTACTCAAATGGCTGAAAAATAAGATATTCACTATAACATGAATACTATTAAAAATCTAATTAATTTTTTTATTTTCCCATCATACTTTATTTATTATCAGTTCAAACATTAATAATAAAATATTAATAATATCTGTAAATTACTTATTTTTCAACTTTTCTAATATACTGTTTAATTTTATTTTAAATGTTAATATTATTTTAACTGTGAATTAATATTAAAATGTCAATATTAAATTAACAATAAATTTTAATATTTTCATACCTGGTATTTTATATTAATACATATTTTTCTAGAATATTTTTAAGAAATATATAAACGATCACTAATATTTATAATAATTACAATCAATTTTATTAATAACGCACATTAAAATAAATATTCTTTCTTTATATGCTTTGGATAAACTCTTCCACTATTTACCTTCTCCCACAATCCACTGCCTCTCATTTTGCTTTCGTTTGCATGACCTATAAATCTTTGCCTCTCCAACTCTCACGCCACCCAAAGCCAGCCGACCTCGCTCCCGACATCCTTGACCTCCTCTGACCCCTACAAGAAGCCTGATCTCTTCCCTTCAACCCACCTCCACCTCTCATCCAATCGATCATTGACATTCGAACGGTCACTACCACGGGCCATCTCTCACGCACATGTAACTTCTTTAATACCACATTTTTCCTTCTTACCTCCATCACTTACTCTCCTTCTTGCCCTCCATGTATCCTGCCACATTTTATATTCTTCATTCTTCTTCTTCTTCTTTTCTAATCTTTCTTTTCCTCCGTTTTTCCCTACCTCATCTTCCTCTCTACTTCTTCTTCTTATTCTTCTTACACTACGGGAAAACACGCGATTACCATCGGATTTTCCGGCGGAAAATTCTGGACGGTAATAAACGGCGCAGGTACCGGCGGATTTTCTCGTCGTAAAGTTTGCGTCAACCTTTCCAGCGCATAATACGCCGTAAATTTACCGACGCCGGTTCCGCCGGAGAAATTTTCGTCGTTTTATCCACCGATAATGGCCGGTTCATAATGCGACTCTAAGTACCGGCGGATATGGCGCCGGAATTATGACGTTTTTCAACGTCGATAACGATCCGTTTTTTCGCCGGTAGTACGTCGGAAACTGCGCCGGAGAAATTTCCGACGCAAGATTGGCGCCGGAAATAATTTATTGACGCGATCAAAACCGGCTTATGGATTTCCGCCGCAACGTGCGCCGGAAACTTATAGTTCCGTCGGAATATCTATGTTTTCCGGCGGATTTCGTCTGCCGGTAATATGGAGTTTTCCTGTAGTGTTACTCTTTATTTTCATGTCCTTCCATTTCTGTGCTTACAAATTCTTTATGATTAAATTTATATTTTTTAAATTTTTAGTCCTCTTATTTTGCAATAATTAAGAGCATCACAATGCAAAAATCTCACAACATAATTATTTCATCAATTTTTTTTTAAATAAAAGATGTGCTTTAAAAATACATTTTTTAAACTACTTTTAAGGAAAATTAAAGATTGGCATAAGCACAATCATGATTATTATGAGTTTTATTAATTCATTGTCCAATAAGTTCAAAAGCCATCTATACTTTTATATATCATACTTTTTTTAAATATAATATTATGATAATACAATATAACAATATGATTTATTTTTACCGTTAATACTATTATTATTAAATTACAATAATGTTTGGATAATGTTTGACTATGTGTTGTTACATAATAAAATTACTCTTCTTTAATAGTATAAAAATATGTCAATCATTTGATAAGATTACAATTAAGAAATATTAAACTACATAAATTTCATACACATTATATATATATATATATATAATTTTATATATTAAATATTGATTTTCTTTTAATTATATAGATTAATATGACTATAAAATTTGTGAGTTAAAATTCATAGAATTAACCTAATAAAATGTATGTTTTTTTTTTAATCTTAATCATCTAAACTAAGTATTTTTTTGCACCATGTAGGTGCTTCTGTATGCTTATGCATAGCTTCTTACGTATCCTTGCATAGGCATAGTACAAAAATCATAATTTTTAGTGATTAATATTATATTTTATTTCTATTATAGCATAAATAATACACTATATATTCAAAGTCTTATAGAAATTTGAACAATTCTTCATACTTTAGCACTCTTAATTAATGAAATTTATTTGGAATGTTTTTAATGCTTTTATTACAGTTGATTGAACTAGCTTTTATTCTACGATCTATCTTAATTGTGTCATATGTTTTAATTTATTGATATTTATGGAATGCCTAATTTTTTTTTAATTTATCTTTGTCTTAGATGAGCTCATCTGAAATATACAATCATATTTATTGGGTTGATTTATCTAAAAATCAAAAGATTGTAAGGAAGAGGAAGATGAATACACAAGAATTTATTGAGGAGGATAAGTTCGATTCAAATCCGAAGAATAACAAACTCTCCATAGAGGAGAGAAAACAAGTCTTTAAAAGATTCTATATGAAGAAAGATTATGTTTGCCCCGAGAGGATAAACAGAAGAATTGTGAATATTTTGGATGGACTAGAACTGCACATTGATGTTTTTAAATTTTTATTCAATGCAAATGTTGTATTTTTCCTTTTATCTTCACTTAACAATTGTTATATTTTGTGTATCGTTGGTATTTTTATGATTGTTCTGACACTCAATCTATTTTAATTTTATAGAATATTTAAAGTTTACATTACCTTAATTCTTCTATATTTCCTTCAAAGATTTCAAAACGTCCAATGATTTTGCTTCAAACTTGATTAACCTCATTAATTCCTTTAAGTATTGAAAAAAACACATATTTGTTCGGGATTTTTTCAATCTTTTAAAACTTAGATTTTTTTTTTTTATCTCCAAGATAAAATTCATTAGATTCTTTAGCAAATATAAATGAAATAAATTTAAATTGTATTATAAATCTAAATTGGATGTTATTATTTATATAATACATTATTTCAATTAATTTTAATTCATGTATAATACAATTATAAATCATCTATATTCATATAAATATAAAATTTCATATTGATATAGAATTGTTGCGTGCTAGGAAATACGCGGCGGTAGAGTTTGTAAATTCGTGTCCGAGCGTTGCACGTAAATATAACACACAAACAGGAAGATAAAAGAACACCGAGATTTGTACGTGGAAAACCCAAAAAGGGAAAAATCACGGGGCCTTGCCCAGTTGTAAAATTCCACAAACGCTTTTGTAAATTACAAGAAACAGATTTGTCCCGCAAATTGGGACGATCAGATTACAACTTGAAGTAAATTTACAAAGTTTGCAGAATCCCGTCGTTTCCTGAAAATCCGGCAGAGTTCCGGAGTATTCAGGCGGCGGGAAGATCTCTGGCGGTGGTCGAGGAGGAGAGGAATCACCTTTTCTCCTTTTCCTTCTTCTTCTCTTCTTCTTCTATCTCTTCACTTGAGTCCACTCAAAAAGGAGAATGAGGGGTCTATTTATAGTTTTTATGGAGTGACAAACCCCTTAAATAGGCGTGAGATCAGGGGCGAATTGGAAGTGTTTTGAATGGACGGCCGATATCGAATCCTTTGATCATGCACCATTCATTGGGCATTTGAAGACCTTAATGATGTTGGAATTCGGCGATCTTGAGCTCGTTGGATTTGTCTCGTCGAGCCGTTCTATTCGAGTATAAGCTCGTCAAAATCGGAGATCGTTTGGTAACTCAAATTGCGGTTTGAACCTTCCAACAGCGCTTCGGATCCTTGATTCGGACCCATTTGGACTCGGATTGGGTCGAATTTGGTGTCGTTGGATTCATATTTCCGAGACGCTCAGTTTGACTATAAGCTCGCTGAAATCGGAGTTTGGATGCTCCCAAAATTAATTTTTGAAGTTTCCAACTAGCTTTTGCCTCGAGATTCGTGTCGGATCAAGATAATTTTGTGATGAGGTATCAAGAATTTTATATGTTTAATATATCATAATGAATTATTTTTTATATGCTGGTTATTTTTAAATTTTTATTTGTGCACTCTTACTAGTTTCATCCTAATTCACCCGATGATTCGAACCTTAAGCCACTCGTTGACTGGTCCGATTATGCCTTCAGTTTTTTCATCAATCGAAGAATAATATGTTACCAGTATTAAAATTGTTTTTGCACGCTCTCCATTATCCCGCCTTATTTTGTCACGAAAAAATTAGATATAAAAAAAGGGAAATTTACATATATACCACTTTATAACATCCTATTTACATATCTAACACTTAAAACTTTAATATTACATTCAGACCATCCTATATTATTTTAATATCAAATATATCACTTATATTTCTTTACTACCACTCATATATTTCATTTCTACAACTCATATTTTGTATGAAAATGAATTATGGATGGTATTTATGTAATATTAAAATTTTAGATGTTAAATATATAAATAAAATAGTATTAAGTGATATATATGTAAAACTCCTAAAAAAAATAGGCAACAAAATATAGTGTGTGTACGCACATCCAACAGGTTCGGATTGCGTACCCAGTAATTATCTTGACCACTTTGCCTTCACAGAGATCAGTCAGTTATGGCTTCTTCTTTCCTCCTTCGACCTCTCTCGGCAATTGAAACCATGAAAGGCGGCGATCATTCAATAGCCAGCTTGCACCTCTCATCTCCGTTTTCTCCATCACGTATCCCCATTCTTCACTCTAGCAGTTTCTCCCTATCCTCCTTCGGCCTTTCTTATCTCCGTCCCTTTCTCATCTGCCATTCCTCCAAGAAGAAAGAATCCGGCTTCACAGATCGCATTCTTGACTACATTGAAGGTAAGATTGTGGTGCAAATCTCTTCGCGTTCATATTTGCTTAATCGGGATTGAAATATTAAAACCCTAGCATCGGTCCAGACACCGCCAACCGCAGTGGAGTAGATTTCGCATGCATGCCAAACGGAAAAATTGGTTTTTACTGGACGTCCAATATTTGCATTGTTGTAAATGCCTTTCCCAATCTTTTTTACTGGAGATATCTGTGGCTATGCTTTTTTTTACTAGTTAGAATAATCTTTAATATTCTTCTTTTCATGCTGATCTGAATCATCTTTAATACGCCCATAGGCATTTTCTTCATTGATACAATTGTTAACATTGTAGGCACTATCTACTTCATTTCCTTTTCATTAAAGTTAATAGAGTTCACATTATAACATAAACTAACTGCTCTACTTCATCATCGGCCTCGTCATTATTATCATCATCACCATTAGCCTTATACAAACTCTTTAATGTCAAATCCTCATTTTAACTTTATTTTTGTTGTTTGCTGCTTATGATATTAATTTCTCTAAAACAAATCATGTAGTCTACTTATCCAAGTTATGTTTTTTGCTCTTTCCATGCACATTCCTACATATAGTTGTATATATGATGGAATACACTTTAATTTTCATGTGTGTTTACTGTTAAGCATATTTTTCTTCAAATAGTGTGTAGAGTTCTTGCTGACAGAAGGATAACTTTATTATTACTAATTTACTATTATCCAGTTAGCCAGGGCCCTTACTATTTGATTGCCTTTAATATGATGCATTTTGTTTATAAGTTGGCTACAAGTGAAACTTCATTAATAAAAAGCTACTTTTAGGTGGACCCAAGTTGAGGAAGTGGTATGGGGCATCAGACATCCTCCCAAAAGAGGTTGGACCTGAAGATGAGGATAGTGAGTCTCCTGGTAAGAGAAAATTGAAGTTCTTCTATTGGAAAGAAATTCAAATATTTGATTTTTGTACCTATTTAATTGTTAGAAATGGGAGAAGTTCGAGATGCAGTGTTGGTGACAAATGGTGAAAGTGAAATTGGTCAGGTGCTGATTATTATACCTTTCTAAGTTTTCACAATGAATCTAGAGGGCATGGGTATGAATTGCGGAAACAACCTCTTTAGAATGCAAGGAGTAAGGTTGCACACATCAACCTTTACCTAGATCCTGCATTAGTGTGAAGCCTTATGCATGGCACTTATTTTTAATATTTTTCTATCAAAGTCTGTATTGGTTAAAAGTTCTAATTTGCTCAATTACATCATGATATTTATCTACATGCACTCATGGATTAATGCTATGTCATCTATTTTTTTTTTCAAATGCAACCAAATAGTACACAAAGTGAAATTTTCAAAAAGTTAGTCCAATTTTGGTAATAGAATTTCCAAAAAAAAAAAGAAGAAGAATTTTGATACTGATCACTATTTTTTTACCCACAGATAAAATCATTACCATATGAGAACTAGTTTAAAAAGCAATCTGAACTAACATAGGATGTTTTCTTTGATCTCAAAGTTTTTGAAAAGTTAAAAATAAAGTTATATTTATGATACCTTACCATGTAACATTACGACATTTTTCTTGTTAGCACTACCATAAAAAGATGTGATTGCTAGCTTCGTAGATGGTAATCCTATCACTGATTGTTAAGCGGGCTCGAGTAAAAGCATTGTTTAAGGATAAAAAGGCTTCCGTTGATGCTTTTGGAACATATGTTGAGGTGACCATCATCTCTTAGTACCTTCTTTAATGTTCATTTTGTTACAATCAATGGTTCCAGAAGTTGATTCTTTTTCTGATGAAGAATCTAAAATTTCCTCCTTGACCGCTAAATTTCCTTGCTGCTGTTAACACGAAGCCACTTGTTGGAGACTTGAGTAATATGTCCTTCCTTTCAAAGGCCTTGAGGGGTGTTCGTGCAATAATCTGTCCGGCAAATGTAAGAAAACTTGGGTGGTAATTTTTTCATTTTCCGTGTAATCGTTCATCTTACAATTCTTTCTTTTTGCTGTTTATTATTTTTTGCACCATCGTATAATGCTCTGCAACTTTACTAACAAATATGATTACTTTAAGATGCTGTTATTTTTTCTGGATTGTTTGTCATTGTTAATGCTTAGTCTTGCAGATGTTGAGATTTAAAAGGTAAACGCTTTATGAATTGTATAATTAATCTACTATATATCGATATTATAATGCCAATGCATAAATACGGAAGTGTAAGGAGCATCATAAAGGTTCCCATCAGTATAAAAAATCTTTTGGTTGCTATTTCCTTCTGTGAAAAAAAAACAACCTACATGGGAGGAGATCATAAAGCACTTGCATTTCTAGGAAGCATGTGATGTTCATTATCCTTATGTGATGTAAATAATGAGCCAAGTTATAGTACAAAGCTCTGTTGGCACCACGCCATGACCATTGCAACTTGATTGAGTCCATTGGCACGAGTCTACATAGCATGAATATATTTTATGCTAACCTTCACTCATTTATTTTTTATTCATGTGTTTTCAGTTGGATAGGACTCACTTTTCGTATTGTTTATCCAAGGGGCTTTATCTACCACAAATAGGCTTATTTTGATCTGGAATGGAACTGACAAATTGAGAAAAGTTCCCTTTGGCTATTGCGCACCTCCGAATCTTTGCTCTCTTTTTATTCCCCTTTTCCATCCTCATCACTCTCTTCTTTCACATTCCATCTCATTCTTTGTTTCTCTCACATATCTCGTCTTTGTCTCTCTCATCCCGGTTATGCCACTTTCCCTCCTTTTCCCCTCCATACCCTTTATCTTCCTCATTCTCTCTACCTTTTCCCCTCAAAATCTGCTCTCTCCCTATTCTCAGTTTCCCCTTCCGCTCTCTAATCAGAATTTTTCCTCCACTTATACTAATTGCAAAAGCATGCTTACCTTACTATCTGCTGTCTTCTGTAATTAATCAATACTAACAAGTGTTTATTTGCTTCCTTGAAAATGGATTGCAGGGAATAGTGCCACATTCAAGTAAATTGTGGTCAGATTGGTTCCAAGCTCTGTCACTCTAGACTACAAAGTGATTTGGGATGGCCTGTAAATTGTCCCAATGAGAAGTGAATGCATGCGTTGTCGTACCTAAAAGTTGCTTTACTTAGATTCCCTCAATTTACACCAACCTTCTAGCTTATAAAGTTGATATATCACCAAAAATCATCTTGATCGGGCATGAATCTAGAGGCATATTTGAATTGAAAACATCCAAAATTAAATTCAAGACAATTTGGACTCCGATTTCAGCAAACTTATAGTAGAACTGAATGCCTTGACGAGATGAACCCAATAACACTAAAATCTATCAAATCTGAGCCCAAATAGGCCCAAAATGCAGGGCTTTATGCATATTTGAAAGCTTTAGGATATTAATTGGATAACCAAATGATCTTCAAATTAGACATACTTATAGTTTAATCAAGCGGCTCTATGAGACGAATCTGATGAGCCTAAGATCGCTTGATTCCAACACTATTTAGACGCATGCATGCTGAAGAAATGATTTATGATTGTGGGAATCAATACATGCTGTTCAATGGAGTGCTTCAAATTTGCTTTAAAATTTCTTATTATTTATGGGGCATGCCACTTTCAAAAAATTTATAAATATACTGTGACGCCCCAGGCATTCATAGTGAAAGGATTCGTCTGACATTCTGATTGAACTCCATTCCAGTTGCATTGCTCGGACCTGAAAATATTAACCACATATAATGAGCTTCAAAAAGCCCAGCAGGTCACCAAAGCCTACAATTGAAATCAAAGCACGGTACTTCTATCAATATGCATGTCAGTCAATCAAATCTATAACAGTCAATGGTCAATGAGTCTATGCAATACGGAAATCAATAGTCGATGCAGCGATAGAAGAATCGATAAATCAAACTCAATAAATCAATACGTCAAATCTCAGAAAAATCTGTACACAGAAGAAAATCAATCGATCAATCAAATCAATCGATCAAATCAATATTATCTAGTCAATGAACTCGATTAGAAAAGAAATACAATAAAGCTCAGTCTATACTAACAATGAATCAAATGCAGCAGGTTACTATGGTGCAGAAGTAATAGTATCAATGAATCTATAAGCAATAATATCAATGAATCTATAGTATCCATGTCCATAGCATCAATGAATCAATACAATATCTATATCCATCCATATCAATATCTATGCTCAGTAGTATCAATGCTCAGCGATCAATCAATGAAATCGATGAAATCGTACGATACAGTAAATCCATAGTTCCGTCACTATCATTTAGAGAGCAGACCAATACGTATCCATATGCGTCAACACAGTACGTCGAGCCGCAGCAAAGTACGCAGCGCGGAGATTTATGCACTCAAATACAATATTAACTCGAAAAGTAAACCAGACGTGGTATCTAATCAATTCAGTATGTACGCTCCGCTTGTCTCTCTGCATACACGATGCCCATAATGCTGTATGTAGGAATCCAACATTGCTGTTGTAGATATCCCATACCGTTGGTTCAATAAGAGCGTCGTCAACTCTGTGCCCGTCGGCATATAAACTCCCTTATCGACTCCCAAATCGTTTCTATACTAATGATCAATATAGACTTAAAGGAAAGCCGTCGGCGCCACTATACCTGTACATTTTCAAGTCAATCTCCAACCAACGTTCAACCAGGTTCACTCTTCTTTCAGTACTCCATAGTCAACTAATAAGAACAATGTAAGACGCAATCATATCAACATTCTATGCAATATCTATTCAACCGTTCATCGAATCTCAGAAAAACGAAAATCGTAGATCTGGATCGGACAGGGCACCGTAACGGGCAGTACTACCTCCAAGTTACACAAAAATCTACAAAATTCAAGCATATTCATCCCAGACGTATAGATAGAAATTTCAAGGGACAATATATAGACTATTATTGCCACTGAATCACATATCAAATAACATCCTGATATTTTTCTATCGATAGAAATCGCGTATAGAACCCAAAATAGACCGGCGTAAATCGTTTCAGAAAATAAATTAAATCGTGTAAATATTCGGTATCTAATAAACATTATTAAAAGTTGTGCGGTGAAAAGTTGTGTCTATACATAAAACCAGGGTCCGTTTTTCGATCACAAAAACACAAAACGAGTGCACACATACGATCAAACTCATATTTCTGAAAACGAAAAGGATTCAGATCCTACCACGAGATAATACTTTTCCCAACAGCGCACGTCGGACGAAAAGCGCTCCGCGGCCTCCGAAACCAAGCTTTTCCTTCGCTTTCCTTCTCTTTCTCTCTCCTCAGATATTTTTATTTTTATAAAAAAGTTTTCTCTCTCCTCAAATCGAGCTGATTTCCTATAACATCAGTCTGATCGTCCTGGCCGATCACCACATCGTCCAGGACGATATGACCAATTTTCAATCGTTCAAGACGATTTTCCAGGACGATAATTAATTTGGCAAAAACCCTTGCTCTCGGGATTTTGCCATGCACTGATCGTCCCAAGACAATCCCAAATCGGCCTGTCTGGGAGGAAAAATCAAATCTGAGAAGGCAAATCAAAGGAATGAGCTCTCACACATACCCCCACTCCAACATGAGGGGGGAGCGTGGACCCTTGGCTAGAGAGGGAAGAGAGCTTTTTAGGCTTGAAGAATCCTAGAGCTCCACCCAAGCACCACCATCGACGAATGCTAGTTACATGGCTGCTGCTGTCAGACCTCAGCCTTAACCCAGTCGTTGGACCTCCTCCGCCCATCGGTCGCTGTCGAACCTTCTCTCGGCTACATCGCTGGACTTTTGCATGCCAACCTTTGCAATTGAACTTTCATTGGTTGATAGTCATCGAACCGTCGTCCCCCTACTAAGGTCCTTCCAACCACCATCGTCCGACTATGGTCCCTCCGGACTCCGTCGCTCAACTACAGTCCCTCTAACTACTGTCTCTCGATTACGATCCCATCAACCTCTGTCGCCTGCCGTTATGGTCCCTCAACTTTAGTCATGTGCTAACTACAACGCCTCTGAGCATCATCGCTCGACTACGGTCCCTTCAACCTCTGTCGCGTGAGAATGTCCCTCTAACTTTCATCACCCGACTATGACTCCCTCGCCCTCCATCGCTCGATTACAGTCTTAGCGACCTCTATCGCATGACTATGGTTCCATCAATCTCCGTCATCCGACTACACTCCCTCTGACCAAACAAACATGCTAATAATCTCTTAAGAATAACTCTTATGCCATTGGATTCTTCCAGCACTAACAATGTAATGTGCTCAATACAATATATATTTATTATATTGTGCCATTGCATTCATCGAGGGATGGACATCATTTGTAGTTAATGACAAACACTAGAATAATCATTTCAACTTGGCCAGACTAGGTAGTTTTGCCCCTTTCTTAAGTTTTTACATAAAAAATTTGGGGTCTCTTATGATTCTTGCACTCCTCTCTCTTATATGTGTATTTGCTAGATCTTCGTGCGAAGCTAGAATGATAAACTATATCCCTCTCTACCACCGTGAATGTTCCGACATGCAACAAAAGTTATCAAGGAGTCAATTCACATTAGTTCACATTTTAAAAAACTCATCAATTGAGTTAGTGTCTTTGATCATGCGCTTCAATGGTATCCCTCCATTACAATTTTGTTAAAAAATCTCTAAAATTAAATAATACCCTTCACTTATAAGACAATATGGAGTACATGGTCAAGAAGAACTTTTTGGGACTGTGTGATAGAACTATAAAAGTGTACACTCATCGGAAGCATATAAAGTGAACTTTAATAAGAGCATGTTTAAATTGCATTGTATTTTATTTTTCTTATCATTGCATTTTTTTGTTTTAGTTTAATGCTAAGACATGCCAATAATGCTGACTTTATTAAGAATGAACTGTGTTTTCTAAAATTTTAACTCTCTTTAGGTTTGGTTAACAAGTAATAACTATTGGCATTCCCAATTCAACCAATATCATGAACAATCCTATCTCTAGCTTCCATGGTTTTCTATTATGTAAAATTTCAAATATACTATTTCCTTATTTGTGATTTCCTTGTCCTTTTATACGTCTTCTCGTGTAGTCAAGCGAGTCTTATAGAATTGATGATTGCTAAAATTGTCGAAGTCTTTTTCTTGCGGTTTCTGCTACAAGATCGGAATCTCCTTCTTGAAGTCACTGATCGCTACACTCTCGGAGCAGTGAAGTGCTTATTATTGCTATAACTAGGAGTTGATTTTTTTCTTTTCCTTCGATGTATTGTTCGGAAATTATGAAACCTAATACTAATTAATATTATTTCAATGTTGCAGTAATTAAAATTATAATTTATTATGGGATCTTAGAAAATCTTAAGGAATTTCTTATTTTAGATCCTTCACGGGCTATATGTAGTACTCCCATGGTTCGTAAAAATCAATGAAAATTTAATATTGAAATAAAATTTCAGCTTTTTGTCAATTCTTGTATGTGTGTTTGTTGGATGTGTATTCTACAATTACTTTACAATTTTTGATCACTTGATGACTATTTATAGCGGCAAGTCTTCTTGTAGTGATTTGGTGCTTGGATCTCCATTTTGGGTGATCTATCCATAATTTTACTTTTATTTTGTTTGGTGTTATTGAATATTTACGAAGTGTGATATATGTTAGATTTTTTGTAGTGTGAATTTTGATCATTAATATTATTTTACCTTTGTTTATTATTTTTTGTAAATTCCAAAGTGTGGTGGTCTTCTTGTTTGTTCCAATCCAACATGTATTCATAGTACCATCCCAGTACTCAATTATACCTTGGAGTCAAGACACGAAAATCGACTATATTCAAATAAAATAATTAAAGATAAATAGCCTTGTAAACGCTTGCCTGTTTGAGTACTCTCTAATGTACTCTTAGTATATAATGAGCCCACCAAGTGTAGTCACTCAAAGACTGAGGTGGACTGTCAAATATAGGATCACAATGCTGATGCTCAATCTCATGATGTATTAAGCGGTAACTTAGCAGTCTATTGGCATATGTATTATCTGCAAATTCTGTTGCTGGTTATAGAATATCCTGAATCCTGATCACCATAACTCAGACCTTAGACAATCCACTCCAAGGAGGCACCATCACTATGATGTAATTTGAGACTGATTATCCAGTTTACAGGATCATTCCCGATTGGATGATCCGAGTAAAAAATAGCCATGGGAGGAGAGCGAATAAATAATATGTCATAAATATCCCAATCAATTAGCATCTCTTGATGCTAAGGCAATCGATCATAAATAGATGCTGACTAGAAAATATCATATCTATCTATATCCCTCCAACTATACTTCGAGGGTTTAGAACAACGTAGTGAACGGGGCTTGTTCCAATCAAACATAGTGACCTGAAGAAAAAAAAATAGGACGATGAAAAACACACAATCTGTGCCTACAACGAATTTATTGCATGAAAATCACCTAACAAATTCGTTGGGAGACAATTTATTTGACTAAATAAAAAAAAACGAGAAAATTAAACAAGTGCACCGCTTTAGAAAATGATTGAATAGGTGAAATGTTTTCTAAACAACACAACCATTCACATAATATAAAAATAAAGGAAAATGAAAAAAAAAACTTACATTCCTTTCTCTTGTGATCTCGACGGCTTGTTCTCACTTTCTCAGTGCTTTTGATCCAACATTCACGTCCCTGTTTTTGTTTACGCTCGCTTCCGTCTATAGGAGACTCGTAGCCGACCCATCCTCTGTTTATGCAGGCCAATTCCAAGCCCACGTCTCCACCTTTGCATGATCTTACCCACGCGCAGCCTGCCCGTCCACTAGTCCGGCTGCGCCTCCCGTGCCTCACGCTCATGCATGCCCTAACCCGCGCAGCCCGCATCACCAAACCCGCTTCAACCTAACGTCATGATCCCTATAGTCGGTGTCTCTCACATTTACCTACCAATCCACTACGACCGAACACCCGCACTGCCTGTGCATGCTCCTGAGCGCCTATCTTTGTGCGCACGATTCCACCTGCGAGACTTGTCGTGCAATTCACCCACGTCGCACTCCTGCGTATCTGCATGAACTAGTCCTTCCTCAGGATCGATTCTGCTTTTATCTTCTCCAACCGTAATTGCAAAAAAGGCTCATTTCTACTCTTGTATAGTTCCTAACAAAGCCTACAATTGCCCAGGAATATAAAGAGTTGGCATAAAGATATTTTACAATAATTATAATAATAATAACAAGCAACATGTACATTTGAATCGAAGACCTACGTAGTTGGATCTTCGATTCGACCATGAATGCTTAAGTTGACGACCTTGCGCCGTTATATCTTTGACCCGGCTAGAAATATTTTGAAATTGAAGACCTCGCATCGTTGTACCTTCGATCCGGTCGAGAAAAACCAACGACAAGTGTCGTCTTAATCTCTCTTCGAGGGGAGGGGGATGTCGAAAGACTGCCAAATTTTCTAGAAAAAATTTAGTAAATAAATTAAAATTATAAAGCAACAGGTACATTTGAATTGAAGACTTGCACCATTGTATCTTTGATCTGACCAAGAATGCTTAAATTAAAAATCCGTACCATTTTATCTTTTTGATCCGTCCGAAAATTTTGAAATTGAAGACTTCGCGTCGTTGTATCTTTGTTCCGATTTGGAAGAACCAATGCCAAGTGTCATCTCAACCTCCTCTCGCGAGGAGGTGGCGTCGGAAGGCTGTCGAATTTTCTAAAAAAAATGATAATCTTTGGAGATCATTTTTAATTAAAAAAAGAAGAGGATTAATTTTAAAAAGTATTTAATTAGTCAATTAAAATATTGGGTGATATTTGAGAACGTTTAAAATAATTTGGATGCCATTTTTAAACTGAATTGGAGAGCATTACAAAATTTGATAATCTAAGAAGCAATTACGCAAAGGTGCCTAGAAAATAATTGGAAACTATATAGTTTCTAAGAAGCAAATACAATAATTTAAATTTTAAAAATTACTTTTTCGGGCATGCTAGTAATGTGCCCCTTGCAGCCTTCCATTTTTTCTTCTACTTCTAGGGATCAATCCATAGCACTCTTCTTTGTTCAACGTATGAATCCGTGGCCCCTTGCAGCCTTTCAATTCCGCTGGCCTGGGAGCAACCTGTGGCCTTTGTCCTTCCTAATTTAGCATATGAATTTGCGGCTCATTGCTTTCTTTGTTTGTATGTTAATCTATGGCACGTTACCTTTTATAACAACCCATAGCTGTTGATTTTAGTTAATTTCAACAGTTATGGATCCAATTGTTAATACTCTTAAGAAAGGAGAACTCAGGTCAATGAAATCCATTGAGCGTGCCTTCAATGATTTACAATTGTCAATGCATATTTTTTTCTTCAATTGAATTGTCAATGCCGATTTTCTAGACGTCTATGTTATTCATGCAGATTTGTACATATATGCAATGCTGATTTTATGCTATGAGCCTCCACTTGACAGTCATGCATGCAACTCCATGCTTTAACATTCGATTGCTGCACCTGAAAAGCAGTGTAGCAGCGTTTTGAGAATTCCAGTATCCAAGAGGAAGTTATTTGTTTACTTGGCGCTTTTTCATGTAGCTCCATGCATTATTTTTTGAATTCTCCACCTGAAAACTGCTGCTAAGAAGCACATGAAGTAATTTATTTAATAGTCTCTTAATGCCCTTATTGTCCAAAAGGAAGTTTTTCTCTAAACGTTCATTCAGATTTTTATGTGTCATTATGCTGTTGTAGGACAAAATATCAAGCATGGAGGCTGAATTTTTTTTAATCTTTTTTCTTTCATGCCTGGGGATTCTAAGGAATATGCTGCATTTTCAGCATATTCTACTTTTGAACACATTAATTCAAAATGCTTTCTATTATTATCTCAGTGAATTTCGATGCCTCAAATGGCTTGTCTACTCCCACACTAATTTTACATCAAGGCTTAACCTCTAAGTTCATTCAGATTATAATGACATATTTGCAGGATGGTTTCTTCAGTGATGCTGGGCGAATGAAAGGTGTGCAGCATGTTATCCTTCTATCTCAGGTTCTCACCTTACCTTCATCCTATCGTTTTTGTATGTTAGATGTGGCAGCCAATCCCTTGACTAACAATTCATGTCTTCTTAAGGTTGCAGTTGGATGTTTATAAAAGTGCTGGGGTATTTCAAGCCATTATAAAGAAGAAGTCGAGGGAATTTGCAGAGAGGGATCAGGAGGTGGTTATTTCTTCTGGGATCCCTTACACTATAGTAAAGGCTGGATTGCTGCAGGATGTTCAAGGTGGCAAGCAAGGTTTCTGCTTTGATGAGGTTTTCCTCACTCTTCATGAATCTTTTTTTTTTTGGCCCATATTTTTCCACGTTTGGAGATGTATCCTTTTTGTTAAAAGTGACGCAAGATACACGGTGGAAGTGTGAAAAATACTAGGAAATAGAAAATAATACTAGTGTAATTGATAATGAATACCGAATGATGTTGAATGCTCATGACAGTGGGCTGCCAAATACTCAAAGCAAGAGAATCAGGAAACCAAAATTTGGGATGCATGAATTCTTCATTGATTCATCATTATTCATATAGAAGCTTAAAACCTAATTAATTATGAAGGTATCATTATCCTTATTATATTTTAATTAAGTTTGATGTACCCAATTTAGAAACTCTATCTTTTTTCCCTTGTGGGTGTCCTTCACTAGTGCATCTTTGCCTCTTCGTGTCCCTTTGTGGGCACTCCTCCATGCTCGCTTCAATCCTTTCTCTCTTTAGTGATCCTCTTGCATGGCTCTACAGGTTGTCTCTTGCAATCGCCCTTGTGCTCTCCTCTTCGCTCAATTCTGTCCCAATTTCTCATTTTGGGACGTGCTCAAGCCCGATGCCTAAGCATATAGTTCACTTGGATTCCTTGCATCATTTCCATGCTTTGATCCGGTCACCCCCTGTGCTAAAGTGTTCATACCCTTCATGCGCTTGTGCTCTTGTGCGCCAGATGTTCGTGTTTCTACTTTGGGGCGCTATCTACTTAGTGTAGGCAATTATGCCATTTTTGGCTTTGGCGCCTACGGTAGTTGCTATGCTACTTTGATCTAGTTTACCACTTATTAATTTTTATTCTTCATCTGGTCTCTTTCATCATGTCTCCTCATTTTCTCTCTCTCTCTGAATCATTCCTCCATATCCATTCCATCAATTATGCCGAATGCACCTTAGGAATTACCTCTTTGTGATGTTTTCCCTCTGAGCGCTCCTACTCATAGGATTTCAATCATTGTGGAATCTCCTTCACCTTGTGCTTCCCATTCATCCTCCAAGGTTGTTAGAGCGATAAGAGTCTTGGTCCTCAGCTTGTCTCCTTTTGCTTTCCCACATATTTTTATGTTAGATTACTAACATTAGAGGCAACTCATCAGGAATCAGGATCACCATCGTTAGATATTGGTTCTTATTTGACATGTTATTTCGATTTTTAGTTTAAGCCTTTGTTTTAGGCTTTTTACCTTTTTGCCCCTAAAAGGTCATTTTAGCATAAATATGAGGTGCCTTGTATTGTTTCAAAAAGAGAATGCATAATAAGAATTCAGTCCAGATTTTTTGTCCAAAACAATGAGCCGTCTCCCTTCTCTCTCTCCCCTCTCTCCCTTCTCTCTTTCTCGGTCGAGACAACACAAAGTAGCAATGGTGGAATCAGCCAGGTGTTGCTGGCCGGCTGGTCCATGTAAGGGAGATTGCAGAAGAGGTGACCAATGGGTCAAGTGGAGCCAGTGGGTGCTTGAGAAGAAGGTGCAGGAATTCAAGATCTCTTCCTTATTGGTTTGTTTTTCTCAACAAGTGTTGTTAGAGCTTGGTTAAGAAAGATCAAGGGGAAGGAGGAAGTTGTTTCTTGAACTCAAGAAGTGGAGTTTCTTGGCTGTTTTTGGGTAAACAGCAGGTGGAGGAGAAGTTTCCTAGGCTATTTTTCCCTAGGCAGCAGGAGTGGTAACTTTCTTGGTTGTTTTTTCCCTTGACAGCAGGTGGAAGGTAGGTTTTTCTGGGCTGTTTTTGATAAGGACATCAATAGGAGATTTCGACGTGTTTATCATCGAATGAATCGTAGATCGACGGCTACGATTCAAAATCTTTATTTATGTTGCATTTATGTATTTTAATTTTTATTTATGTTATGGTTTACCATTGTACCCCCGAGATGGATTAATTTATGTTGTAGCCGCGAGGGCATTTGAGTCTTTGTGTTTTTCTTATATATATATATATATATATAGTGTGTGTGTGTGATGACCCTCCCTATTGTATGGATAATGATTGATTAATGAAAATATTTCAGCTTTTGGTTCTTTGTTTCTTTGTGAGCTCTTGAGAAGAGAGAACCCTAGGAGAGGCCAAAGCAAAACCCGACAGCCACGTTTAAAATTGCGCAATAAGAGGCGCGCCTCAGCGCAATTTGGTCCATTTAAGCCTCAAAGCCCACGCAATAAGTTCAGTTTATGAGGCTTACGCCTCAAGTTTACTGAGGCGCGTCTCGCCTCATATATTTAAGGCACCGCCTCTAAAAAAATTAACCTAAAGTTTTTTTTTTTCAGTTTGGCCCCCCCAGTTGCCGACGTGGCGCGCCTAGTGAGATGTCGACGTGGCATCAACATTTAAACCCTGGTTTAGGTCGAATGCAGAGGCGACATTTAGATTTTCGAGTTGCAGCAAAAATTCGAACTTTCAAGCATTCACTCCGGAGTAATTTCAAGCATTCTTCACTCAGTTTCTTCTAAGATGTCGTCACCCACAAAGAGAAAGGTAACTTAAAGTTATGTTTTATGTTCCGTACTACGTATTTTATGGTTATGCTATGCGTTGGTGTTCAAGGTTTTGAAGATCTTTTTATTTTATGCTTATTCTATGCATATGCATTGCTTCTCAAAATTTTTTAAATGTTTGATACTTTGATGTCATCGTGTTTTCTCTGTATTCAAGGTTTATGATGAATTTATGTTGAAATTTGAAACAAAAAACCTAACTAAATTTTAAGCACCGAGTAATATATGCGTAGGCTGTGCGTACACAATGCGTCTTTTGTGCGTATTCTATGAGTACACGTTGCGTGTTCCTTGCTTATATTGTGTGTACTTTATGCGTGCATATAATTTGCTGCCATGTTTTCTGCACTGTGCGTGTGTTGTGCGTAATATATGAGTATTTTATGCGTACACTGTGCGTGACCGTTGCTTCTATTCTGTGTATGTTTTGCGTTTTTTGTGCTTGTCTCATTTACTTATTTTTTATTTTTTATTACAATTTCAGATATATGTTCGTCCAAGTTAACTATCGATGCTGGATGTTCCTTCGTTTCGAACAATTCTGTGACTAACTTTGGCTCAACAAATTACTCCTGAAGTTAAGGACACATTGAAACGTTTAAAGATGATACAGTTTTTGGAATTTTCCTGGGTTGAGCAAAATGTCCCTCGTTATTGTACAAATGAGCTGATCTCAAAGTTTGATGAACATTATCAAAAATAATGCTATTGTTATACGAATAGTCATATCCCATTCCTTTCCTGCTGATGAAAGTGTTACCCTTTCTACTGGTCTGCCAAAGTAAAGGAGAAAGAAATATCCCTGGCATTCCCTTAGCAATACTTCTGTTACAGTCAATGGACAATAAGGAATAGACCATGATGGAGTTGAACAAGCAAACCCCCAGAGACTATGTTAAGAACGTTTATCATGTATTTTGTTCAAATTTAACTTTTTCAACATTAACAAATTCAAAACCCCATCGGTTGATTCAAAGCAATAGTTTAATAATCCAGAAATGAATTTTTTTTGTTAATAATCTAGGCTAAGTTCAAATCAGAGAATTTTTAGTTTGTGAGAGCTTTAACAAAAGGCCTCCTCCAGTTTCAAATAAGAAGGCCCGAGCAAGATTACATCAATGATTTTGTACCGTCTGCTAATTTGTGAGTGCTAAAGTCGCTATTGCTTACAATTCATTCAAAAGTTTTATTAGCGCTCAAGTGTGAGTGCCTAAAGATTGTCCTTTCATCTTATGCAGATGTTGGTTCCTGGAGGCATACTACTATTCCATTACTCCCTATTGGTATGCTGAACAAACAGGCCAAAGGTTCCTCTTCGGTGGCCGATGGAATTCGTATATCTACAGGAGGTGATCATACTTGTTAATATAAGAAAATGTCAGATTTGGTATAGTCCTACTACAGGCAGTTCCCAGGCTGAAATGGTTATGATTATGTCGAGAAATAATCCATCAGACAGCCCTCCATCCCCTGATTCCCCTCATGAAATAGTCAATCATGCAAACAACCCCCCATCTCCCATCATACTCACACTCTCAGACAAGACCCCACCAATCTCCTAAGCACCACACTTAAGATTTTCTCCTGACAGCACTTGTAGTCTCAACAAGAAACAATATATCAAATCCTGCCAAGTAACTGTACAAAACTTGTTTCACGAGAATTTGAAGAACAGACTGAGCTCAAAACGTTTTGAAGATCGTAATGAGAGAGGTGTGGAGTTGATTGAAGGTCAAGGCTCAATAATTATATTGATCAGGAATCATAGAATAGTTCCTCAGAAAAGTCTGTTTGCTACTTCTTCATCTTGTTCAATAGGAGACAAATCAGATTATCCTCCATAAACCCTCAATGAACCAATGGAGTCTACTCCAGCAAAATGATCCAACTCCGCACCTAAATGCAGCCATATCCTAGCAGAAATGCAAACTTATTCCATATATCAAATCCAAATGAACCAAGTACCAGTAGGATCAACATTATAATAAACACCTGGTACACTTATGTTTATGCAAGATGAATACAGAAATTACAGAAGTGTCTTTCTGTGTTTGGACATTCTGAGAAGAGAAATTTTGTGCTGGCGAGAATAGTTTGAAAAGTGACAATAGCAAGGTAAAAAAGTTGCAACTTTATTTTTTGTTTGAATAATGATGTATGCAATGGTAGATGCGTGGAGTAATATGGTATGACTATGCGTGGGGTATGCGTTATATGCGTATGGTAATGCCGTGGGTTATTTGCCTTATAGAAATGTGTATTTAATTGTTTTGTTTTTCAAGGGCGACTCTATCTTGTGTTTGTGTTATGTGTTCTTATTATCCAGATCTGACATTGAGATTTATTAAGCGACCAGTATTTAGCCATTGAACAATTGTAGAATTTTGTTCCCATTCTCTTAGATGAGGAAGTTGGGTAACCTTATGCTCGACAGAGTACCATAAGATTCCTATACATTCCTCTCCAATCTATTGGGGTTAGTAAATTAGTATTCAAATTTATCAGTT